CAGTCTGATGATTTTCAACTTAAATATTGGCTTAGACATTTAAATACGGAGGCTGATGATCTAGCACAATTAGCCTCTCGAGTGAAAGGCCCACCAGGTGTGGAAGAAGCTCTGATCACAGTTAAAAGAAGTACTCTTCCTTCGGTAGAGTTACGGTATGAGATGGCAAGTCATTTCCAATTTGAAGAGCCAGAAAGGGTCAAACCTGCCAATAAGCCATGGGAGGTTTTCAATATTAATATAGATGGATTAGATTTGGATGATTGGAGAACACCAATTATCCAATTCTTGCAGGAGCCTAGCTCCAAAGTGGACAAGAGAATTCAGCTTTTGGCACCACATTACATTCTGATTGATGGGGACCTCTACAAGAAGAGTAAAGAAGATAGACTTTTGTTATATGCCTCGGAAAGGATGAATCCATGAGGGTAATGGCGGAATCACACCTTGGAATATGCGGAGCACATTAAGCTGGAATCAAGATGAGGTGGCTCCTTAGAAGGTATGGTTATTATTGGAAAGGCATATTGAAAGATTGCATAGAGTTTACCAAGACTTGTATTGCATGTCAAGAACATGGCCCGATCCAAAGAGTTCCAGCTATTAATATGCAGCCGATAGTAAAAATATGGCCATTTAGAGGGTAGGTTTTGGACTTTATTGGAAAGCTAAGGCCTCCATCTTCAGATGGCCATACTCACATAGTGGTGGCAACAGATTATTTCACAAAGTGGGTGGAAGCCATTCCACTAAAGACTTGTGAGCAGTCAACGGTGATTGATTTTATCAAGAAGCACATTATACATAGGTTTAGAATTCCAGAGACTATCACCACTGATAGAGGTCTATCCTTTGTTGGAAGCAAGGTCTTGGATTATTGTGCTGAGTGTGGTGTACAAGTGATCAGTTCTACTCCATATTTTGCCCAAGCAAATGGACAGGCAGAAGCTTCCAACAAAGTAATCCTCAACATCCTTGAAAAGATGATTGAGGATCATCCAAGGGAATGGCATTACTTGCTTTCTAAAGCTCTTTGGGCCTACAGAAATTCAAAAAGGTCAAGTACAGGTGTCACACCATATGTGCTTACATATGGACATGATGTTGTCCTTCTAATGGACATGACTATCAGGTCTGCTAGGGTGGCTTTCCAAAATATGCTAACTCCAGCAGATTACAACCATGCCATGTTAGCAGAATTAGAAGACCTTGATGAAGTTCGTCTCAATGCTCTAGATCATATTATTGCTCAAAAGAAGAAAGTCATGCGGGCATACAACAAGAAGGTCAAGGCGAAGACATTTGTAGAAGGAGACTTGGTATGGAAGGTCAAATTTCCACCTGGAGTTAAAAGTTTGGAGTATAGAAAATAGACTCCTAATTGGGAAGGTCCTTACTTGGTAGAACGAGTCCTTGGAAAAAGGGGCTTATAGATTGATGGATATAGATGGAGGGTCTCATAGGCACCCTGTGAATGGTGTGTACTTGAAAGAGTACAACCCTTCTATCGATGAAGATTGGAAAGCAACACTCATTCAACCGGCCACATAATGTGGCTGGTACCACTCATTTCCAAGTTACCAGAAAGTTGGAAAGGAGGAATGTTGACCATACTTTGGTCATTCTGGTAGTTAAGTCAAAATGGAGGAATGATTCATTCTAGTAAGTGGTTAAGTACTTGGAAACGTATATTGGCTAAAGTTAGGAAGCAGACGTAGTTGAATTTCCAAGATCAGCTGATTTCCTAAGTATGGAAGACTTCATTGAGGAACTGGCTACACTACTTCCAGGTTTTGATCATACTGGAAATTGTTTATCTTACTTGTATATACATGCATTTCCATTGTGGTAATTTCTTTTATTTCTTTGAATTTCCTTTGTTATGGAAAGCCAATTATATGGCTATGCCTTATTGTAAATATATGTGAAGAAATTTTCCAGTTTCAGTGATTTAGAAATTTCTTTTCCATATAAATTGTGAAAGAGGCACATGCAAAGGGTTGGGAAATAGAACGTTATCTCATTAGATACTGGATTTCATTACAAAACTCAAAAATGGCCTCCTAAACCTAGGATTGGCCATGCAAAAGTACCCATTACTTATTTTCTATCCATAAGTTTTCCAAAAACAACCACACGATAGAACCACAAAGAGAAACACATGAGATCAGATAGAGGCAAGAACACCTCCAAGTTTATTCCAAATTTTCCTTGTTTCTTCAAGAACAACCACTGCTTTAACCTTTGCTTCCTCAAATTTAGGAAAGGCTTCAACTCGCTTTTCCCATTCTTTCCTTAAAGGTTCGGACGCATTGACAAGTGCATTAGCTGTTTGGTCCAATTCAAGTTTTTCAGGTTCCACTTGTTCCAATTCCCTTTGAACTTTGGCCAGTTCTTCATTCAGTTTTTCTTTCTTGATCATAAGCTTTTCAGCCCAATCCTTAATTTCGGGGGAGAGTTGAAAATTCTCAAGAGCTTTATCTTTGAGCTTGGCTTCCTTTTCATACTCAGAAACTATAGAAGTACTGGAGCTCACATGGGCAACAATGAATTGGAGTTGGTGTTGCACCTTAGTCAAAGAAGCCTGGATGGACTCAGGAAATTCAGAATGTTTTTTGAGGGTCATAATAGTACTGGCTAGACTTGAGTGGAAAGAGACTACATCCTCAACATCATGGGCAAGATAAGACAACAACTTTTCTTTAGCCACCATGATAGCATCATCTGAAGGTCCTGGAAGTGTGAGGACACTTGCACTTGAAGTAGAAGCACTGGAAGATTTGGTGGCCTTGATCACTTTGTAAAGATCAACTAAGGCTGGAAGGGCTCTCCTCTGCATCATAAAGGAGGTTGAGGTAGATAAGGAAGGAGTTGCCTGAAATGGAAGCAAGTTTCTATTAGATAGAAAGAAAGAAAGGAGACGAAGTGTAAAGGAATGAAGACTTACCTCTGGGATGGAAGGAGTATGACTAGTAGAAGTTCCACCAGTTCTAGAAGGAATGGACATTCCAATAGTGGAAGTTGGAATGGGCAGACTTTTCTCATTCTTGATGGTCAAACTCTCCATAATTGAAGCTTAAAGGGCCAAATCCTCTCCTTGTGCAACTTATTGATCTAGGTGGATATTCATGAAATTGTGCCCCATAGTAGAGCCCTATTGGTCAAGTTGAAGTTATAAACATTTTAAAGTGTAAAGTAATGAGATGGAGAAGGATAGGGATTAAGACTTACCAAAACAAGCTCTTTGGATGACTTTGGTTTCTTGTGTTTTGGGAGTCTCCGGTTTGTTTGAACTCTTCTATTTTTTCCAGTTCAAGCATGATTTTCCTTTTAGCCTTTCTAATAACTTTTCTGGAAGGACTACGCATTTTTAGGGCTTTGCTGGAATGCTGAGTAATGGTTCGCCCTTTGGAAATGCCAACTTCACCATCAGAAGAATCTTCATCAGAAGAGGATAGTTGGGGCTGAAATTCCTTTTTGACAATGGCCAGTCCCTGCAAGAGGAAGTATAAGTAAGGTCCAGAATATGGAACGGTTAAGTTCAGCCACACTGAAATACCTGAGAGGTTTTTCCTTTTCCCTTTGCCTTGTATAAAACATCCTCCTCTTCCTCTTCCACTTCTTCTTCCTCCTCTTCATCATCACTTGAGGAAAGATTTTCAATACTTACATCACCACTTTCGGCTACACCTTCGATTTTACTAGCCGTTGTGGTGGTTTTCTCTCCACCTTCTTCCTCTTCACTTTCTTCGAGTATTTCCTCTTTTTCATCTGAAATTAACAAGTCTCAGTAAATGGAGGGTTGATGGATTTCAAAAGGGAATGGAATTTACAGTAAATACATTAATACCTGGAGATAGAGGCTTGAAAGATGCCAGTATGGAATCACAGACAGCTTTATGATTCTTGGTTCGGGTGGAGGAGATATAAGCTGACCACCATACATCGAATTCATTGGTTGATTGAGGCTTGCTAGTATGGCCTTTGAAATTAAAAGCTGCTCTTTCTGCTGTGTAGGCTTGGTCAATCATTGCAAATTGTTCAGTATCTGTAAGACGAACACGTTGGTTAAAGAATCTGTTGTAAGATTTGCAGGGTGGCAAAGGAATCATTTGGGTAAAGCCCATTTGCCTTGCTAGTTGGGCTGGGTTGTAGAACTCAACACCACAGAAACTATTCTTCAAAGTAGGTTGAGCAGTGCTGTAATGGAGGTCACGACCAATAAGGAAGCTAGCCTAAATATTTTTCCAATCTTCAGAATTTTTCTTGGTAGACACTCTGGGAGATGGAACCAACCATGGCAGTGAATGGATCAAAGAACTCATCATTTCCAGTCTCACATTGATTGTAGAAATATTCAAAGTTTTCAGCAAAGCTGAAAGGAGAAGGATCTGCGGTTGCCAAAGAATGGCACAGAAGGGATTTTCCAGTTGGAGTGACTAGGGGTGAAGTACTGTTTTGGAAGTACACTTTAAGCTACATTTGGAACAACCGGAAGGGGCCTTGGAACCTTGAAAACTTGGAAGTAAGGAGATCGTGAAGACCTCTGTATAAATGAGAAAGTACAAGGGGAGCTAATGCTAAGTCTCCATTTCTGGCTATGGAAACTGCCACTTGAACAAAGTCTTTTGTGACTTGGCCAGATGGAACGCATAGCAAGTGGCCAGAAAGCCAACAAATCAAGAAAGTAATGTGCTTATCTTCTTGAACTGGGTCGGTTTGCTTACAGTGTTTAATAAAAGGGAGATGGGAGGAGATAAACTTCTTACTTCCAGTGGTCTTGGTTGGAAAGAGGAATTGTTCAACAAAGAGGGTGGCACTTACATCATCTCCATGAGGCTTAAGACCTGTGATGTAACAAATATCTCTCAAAGTGGGGGACATCATTCCACATTTAAGATGCAGAGAATTGGTGGTTGAAGACTAAAAGAAAAGGGCTGGAAAGAGGAGGGTCGGATCAAGCGTTATGGAGGACTTACTGATTTTGGATAATGTCATAGATGCCCTGTTTCTTCTACTATGAAGAAATTTTCTCATCCTTGGAAAGACGGCTCACCCATGAAGACCAGGGTGAACGATATATTGGCCAGTTTTTTATGCTGAATGAGGGTTTTACTCTTTTCCCTTTCTTTGAAATAGGAGGGAACTCTGAATCGAAAGGGAGTGGAGACTTACTAGAAGGGTAGAATTCGGTTAATTGAGAGGGGGCCACGTTGGCAAAGCCTGGACCCAATCCAACTAAGGAGTCTTTGAAGTGAATCAGAGGTTCAAGATGAAGTCTAGAATGGTTTAGAGACTTTAAGAGTACTTGAACTTGGTGACTGTAGCTTCGAATTTTGGTTTTGGTTTGAATAGAAGGAGCTGGCAGGGATGAGCTAGTAGTCGGCTTGGAAGGTTTCTTGGGAGCCATGGTCTATAATTTTTTCGTGGGTGGAGATGTCCTTTAGGGTTTCAGAAGGAGGAAATATGATAGAAGGAGAGTTGGTGGCAAACGAAAAGGATGGAGGGTATATATATATATATATATATATATATATAAATGATATGGAAGGAAGTAAAGGCTGAGGGCATTTTCCTTGGATGGGTGGTTGGGTTTTCAAAATTCAAAAGGAAGTCTTAAAAGGTTTTAGAAGCTGGATGGTGTAATGCCATAAATGGATGAGAGGTTTATTGGGAGACGGAATGTGTTTGGCGACTGGAAAGATTAACATGGGTAGAATCAAGAGACTAGTCGAATAACACGTAGAAGATTTTATTCGTTTACGGTAAAATCTTTCAAAGTCCAAGGACGCCTTTTGAGGAAGGGTAGTTAGAGGAGGACTTTCAAAAGGAAAAGGAAATAATGAGGATTGAGAAGGCTGACAGCTCTATGCCATAAATGGTTAGGATCTCCTTGAAGATACGAAAATCAGTGGTCGAAGAGGATGTTCTCAGAATATGCAGGGGGAGCAGCCACGTGTTTCCTTTTAATGATTATCTTGAGTGTCCAAAAAACCTAAGGGTACTATTAGAAGGGTTTTAGTTGGAATTTCGAAATTCAAAAAAAAGGAAAGTAAAGAGATTTTTATGGGAAGCAGCGAATAGGTCTTTTAGGGGCACACGGCATCTAGGAGATTGGCGATTAAAGGAAATTAATATGATGGAAGCCGAGAAGTTAGTTGTGGTTAGGGTTGGTAAATCAAGTGACCATGATGGTATTCTGATGGCGAAAATCAAAACTCACGCCTTATTTTCAAGTTGTTCTACAAGGCATGGAATTTGGGGGGCATATGTTTATCCCATTATTTTACCTAATGGAAAAGAGACAAGTGGCGAGTTTTGACAAAGCTTACCATATTAATTTAATGTTCTAATTGTCCAAGGAAAATAGGGTGTGACATGAAATTGTTAATGTGGTTCCTTAAATAGAAAAGAGGTACGTGGTAAGTTCCAATGGAACTTGCCATGTTAGACTATAATATTGATAAATATTCCACCTTGGAATATTTAAATTATGGGAAATTAAAAGATAGTGGTGAGTCCCTTTAGGACTTACCAAATTTAGGATACAATGTCCTAAAAGGAAAAGAAAATGGCATGGAGTTATTATCATGAGTACAATCTCATGAGAAGGCTAAAGTCAGCTAATCAATAATTTATCAACACATGGCGAGCTTTATTAAACTTGCCACGATGGATTGATTTTGTTAAAGTTGAATTTATTTGGAAGATCCTATTTTAGTAGGATACCAATTAGATGGGTATTCTCCATCTAAATAAAAGTTGACTAAGTCATGGGACGTGGAGGCAAATTTCTCCTTATTATTAGGAGACTTCAACAATGGTTCAGCCAAGTCAACTTCTGTTGCTAAAATTTAGCAAGCCGTGGGATTTAATTTATTTCTTTATATATATATATTAGGCTTAACCTACGATGAAGGAATCACCGTGAAAAGGGAGTCCATGATGTCATGAGGTCTAAATCCAGAGGAAGTAAGGTTGAAGAGAAGTTGCTAAAATTAAGGAAGTGAGCAACAACCATAACCCACGATGTAAACTTGGTGACCATGACGCCATGAAATTAAATATGGAAGGTTCAGCCTAAAATCAAGGAAACCGTGGTCTATAGAGGAAAGGGAAGTAGGTTGGAGAAATGTAAATGTGTACAAATATATTCTGGGAAACTACCCATGATGGAGGAATTGCTAAAATTAAGGAGGTCATGGCACCATGAACTCCAAACTTCAGAAGGAAAGTCTCAAGATGGAAGTTATTCACGATGAGGAGTTTATCAGAAGTCAGAAATCACGATGCCATGAAAGGAGGGTTCTATAGAAGGGACAGACTACTAGAAATCGTGGAACACCTGGCTAAATGAGAGTACGTCGGTTGAAAGTGGTGGAACTTTATAAGGGAACTACCACTAACCAAGGGAAGTTATCAAGAATCATGGACGATAAGGCAGCAGTGGGTAAAATCGTGTCTGAAATTAAGGAAAGGAGTTGACGGCGTGAGGAAGAAGAACAAAATCATGGGACACTTGCCAAGTCACAAAGAGAACATGTGGGAATTCATTCTGAAACTACCCATGACGCAAATTCGTTGAAGACTAGAGAGGATGTGGTTGAAGTCTACAACAGAAGATGGATAAGGTAGAAGAAGTTACAACAGCTGACGAATCATGGGACATGTGGCAGTCCGGAACCATTCCACGTGGAAGTTGCTGAAGTTGCCACACCTAGTTAATGCATGCATAAAGCTCTATAAATAGAACACTTAGAGCTAGTTTGCAAACCCTGTTCAAATCACACAGCAAAACAACACTTCAATATCTTTACATTCATGTATCTTCACATTCATATAATGCACCTTCAATATGTTTAATTCAAGTCCTGTACTTATTATTCCTACTTTCCAGTAGCACTTTACTTTGAAGTCCTGCACTTTCAATACCGTTTTCCTTTCCACTAGCCATAGTTCAGTCCAAAAGTCTTTTTTCAAGGCAAAAAGAACCATTGAAGGTGGTAATTCCAGTCCTTCATTTAATCGCCTGATCCCTGTAATTTCCTACTAGATAGTTGTTCGGATACTCACTTTGGAATGACAGCAGTTCCTGGCACGCCCGACATCCACTCCTACTTTCCATTCACCTGGAAAGCAGAACGAGTGCTTTTTCACGAGCCGAATAGTGTCAACTGTGTACATGTATCATGTGTGTGGTTGAGAATTGTCTTAGAAAGTTCAAAGATCTATAGGAGAATATTATATATAGTGTAAGGGATTTGTTGTTAAGATATATCAACACAACAAAGAATTCAATCCAATACAGAAAAATAATTGTTTCTTCATGCTTCTCCTCTCTTCACTTAGAAATTATTTAGTTGGTTGAAACTACAGCCAACCGTACTTACCTCAGACATATACTTCGCAAGGATGTGATTGAGTTGGACAAGAATTTTGTATAAATGCATTATGATGGGTTGGGGTCAGTGTTGTGGGTGGAACTACATATATATCTTCTTTTATCACCACATGTCAAATGTATATTCTGAACCAATTCAATTAGAATGATGACATGAATAATATAACTAGAGGACAGAGTAAGGTGATTCAGCAAAGCCATTCTTTGACAATGTAAATTCTAATGGTTCGAGTCATGGGTACGATCGAGGATTATTAAGGGGAGGAGGAATGAGCAATTGCTGTGTGAAAAGGATTGAAAAGCTCCTGCAAATGCAGTTAGTGCATTGCACCACATACAAGAGGAAAGGATAGCTTAAAATTTTGATATATAACTACTTAATGGTTAATGGTATGTAGGGTTATACATATGACCAAATAAAAAAAAAAAGAGAGAGGAAGATCTCAGGATAAATAAGTAAATAAAAGAGGAAGCATAACAAGACGCTGCTTACTTGATTTGGCCTATGGCCCTAATCAATAGGAATATCCCAAAAAAGTTTTAATTTTTTTTTTTTTTTATACTATAATCTTTCTAAAGTTTTTATTTTATTACATTATTAGATACCCCTCAATAAAGAGGCCCCAAAAACTTTTATTTTTTTTTTTTATGCTATAACCTTCTTAAAAATTTTATTTCTTTCTATTATTAGACTCTAGTATATAAAAAGGCCTCAAAATTTTGTATTTCCTTAGAGCATCTTCAGCAGTCTGTTAAAACATTCTTTTGTGTAAAATATACACTGCTACGTATTATGTGTTATTTTTTTTTTTCTCTAGCAGTTTGTTAATATTAGGGGTGCACAAAAAACCCGTGAAAATCGTGAGAACTGAACCAAACCATGGGTTTTGGTTCCGGTTCTGAAAATCTGGAACCGTGGGTTACGGTTCCGATTTCGGTTCCAGACCCGTGAGAGAACCGTTGGGAACCGGAACTGTATATATATATATATATATATATATATATATATATATTTAATTATATATATTCCACCTTACATAATACATGCACGATGTGTTGCAGTTGAGTGACTTGAGTCAATTACAATTATTACATAACACGTCGTAAATTAATTAACGGGAAAATATCCATATTGTAAATAAATTTAATATATAGACAAAATTATTTTTTATGGTGAATATTTTATTTTTGTATGAGATTGATTCTTTCTCATTAAAAAAAAAAATTAAGTATTTACGGAATCCTCATAGATGAGGGCCTAAAATGCACGGTGAAAAAGTTTTCATTGCGCTTTTGGCACCTCATAGAAGCCCTTTATTTCTTGTAGTGATTACTCATAGAGTGCTGCTATACAACCTGACTTTAAAAAAACCGACAACATACAACTTTTATGTGGCTATCTATCAGTGGGTTGTTTGGAATGTGAAATAATGTTCTAAATCATATTGCCTTTCTAGATATCGTGTGTGCAAGAAACTCCTTGGCGGAAGGGTTTCCAGAGACATCAATCTTCTATTCCTTCTCCCACTCCTTATCTTCCCTTATCGGCCTTGGTCGTTCTTTCTATCAGAAATCGGAGTTACCGGGTGGTGGTTGTAGGCATGGATTCCTCATCGCCAGGAAATCAAAATATATGAGTATATAACTTGTCAACTCTTTTTATCTCCATCACAAGAGAAGTGTACATTCCTCTCTTTTGCAACCAAAGAACTTGGCTTCAAGAAATTCACAAATATGTCACCGGAATAAGTGGCACACAGATGTTCTGATGTCAATGGTGAAGAGTTAAAGTGATCTAGAATGCTATGAGCAGCGCATGAAGAGGGTCGCGTACGTGGAGTGATGCCAATTTCATCTCAAACCAATCAGATTGTTGCAGTGAATGTCATATGATAATTCATAATCAAGTTCGTTTTGTTTACAAACTGGGGCTGAAATATCCATGGAATCTCAACACTATTAGTTAATTGCATAAGAATTGACAAAACTAGAGAAAATTAGGGTTTCGAAGAGGTTAAACATATTGAAAATTAGTAATTTGGGTTTGACTGATACATAAGAACCCCAAAATTCAAGATTCTTTTAAAGTCAAAACTGGCAAATTTTTGAGTCGACGGATAGAAGAGAATTGCGATCCGGAAACTTTTATACAGGATCCAAATCATGGGTTTTTAATCTGCTAGCTGGGATGAGTTATTGATTTGATGAAATTTGTTGATATATTCAGGGAAGAGCATAAAGTTGTGGGGACATGCTGTGTCAATAAGTGGGTCGGTTATTTGTCGGTAAAAATTAGTCGTTTAAAATATCATTTTCCTTACTGATATAGGTGTTAGTTTTATTTTATATTTAATCATGAATGTAAATAAATGTGGTAATTAGCATTTAAATATGCATATAAATAAGATTAAAAAACATGTGCGTAAATATAGATATTGAAACATGCTATTTAACTCTGAATTTGGAACTCTAAAAATTTCTTGGAATACTAATAGCCGCTCCCAAGTCACTTTGAACTTACCAATATACAATAAGATTAATTTTCGCATTGTTTATTTAAGTAGCACTGAAGAATATATAATCTACCCTCAAAATTGTTGAAATCCATCATCAGCCGAGTTCTTAAAGATTCTTGAGTTGCTCTATTGATCCTTCGGTTAAGGTTGAACATGGGTGACGAGATATTAAACCATTCTCATTATTTTCAAATGCTTCATACAGAAATATAGTTCGGACGAATTCGAAGCAGGGGACTACAAATGGTACGTATATGCTTATGAATCTTCCCGATTACTTTAGATTTCAGTGCTGCATTTCTACGAAGTTAAATTGAAGATGAACAAAACCCAAAAACAGTAGAAAATACTCTGTATAAATAATCACAAATTTTTTAAAATCTATAATGACTGTGGCAGGATATTGTCTATCTACCCAAATGGTGATGAGACGAGAGATGGTCGAGACCATATTTCTGCCTCTTTGGCATTGGCGGATACAAGTACTCTGCCTAATGGTTTTGAGATCAATGCCATTTTCAATATTTTCGTATACAATCAGGTTAAGGACAAGTACTTTAGTATCCCAGGTAACATTTATATTATATCAACATCGACTATATATATATATATATATATATATATATATATTATATATATTTGTGTTTTTGTTCATGAACAGCTTATATTATTTTTAAAATGCAGAAGGTAAGGTTTCCCGTTTCCGGGCAACAAAAACTGAATGTGGCATAGGCAGATTTATCACCAAGGAAGCTTTTACTGATCCTTCAAATGGATACCTTATCGACGACACCTGTTTTTTGGAGCAGAAGTTTTTGTTCTCAAACAAACTAAAAAATGTGAAGGCTTGTCAGTGATAAAAGAAGTTACCAACAAGCACACTTGGAAGATTTCATCTTTTTCAAGTTTAACCAATGAATATTATGAATCACTGTCATTCGTTGTTGGAGATTACAAATGGTATGTATTGTGATATTCTACCCTATTTATAAGCTGAATCAGCTTAGTCTAACATTCTTCTTTTCAGTTTTAAATTAGTGACGTGGTTCGGTTTTTTCTTAATTTGCAGGAGGATTCGACTATACCCTCGTGGAATTGGTATAAGCGAAGACAATAGTGTTTCAGTATTCATGGCTTTGGATGATTCAACGCTTCCTCCTGATACCAAATTGTTTGTGAGATACATTCTGCGCATAATGAATCAAATTAATGAAAAGCATTACTCAGTACGAGGTAAGAGAGTGAGACTTTTCCCCCTGGGCTCAATGCAATTTGAGGCCTTTTTCTTTTGCAGGAAAAATATTTGTTAGAGAGAAATGTAACGTTTATTCTTGTCTTCTTTTGCAGCTGATCATCAATTTAGTCGACGTACCTTTGTCAATGACTTTGGGGTTTTCCGAAGGATATCTCATTGGCTAAACTAAATGACTTGACAAAGGGCTTCCTGGTGGGAGACACTTGCATCATTGAAGCGAAAGTCACTTTGCTTGGAACAGTGGGCACATTATTACAAGAATAGGGCTTCTGAGTTGGAACTTTCAGTATGCTCATGGTGATACTATTATGAAATGCAGGGTTTTGATATGTTTTTTTGTATCTTTATTTGAGTTTTGTTTATTAATGACTCTGAAAAACTGCTATTATCTTCGTGGTAAATTGAACATGCTTATGGATTACCAAATTTTCCATATTCCTTAAATTTTGCTTTGAACAGTAGTGTCATGCCCACGAGTTAACTGTCAATTTTTGAATTGTGTGAATTTTATAATGTTTTCTGAATTTGGTATCAATTGATGATCATCACACAGGTCAGTGTAGTGTTTCAAATTTTAGATAACCACTCCTCAAAATAAATTAAGTTGGAAATAGGAGCCAACATAGTTTGATCAAACTAAAAACTTATCCATAATATATAATTCAATATAACAACAAAAGGTGTAAAAAATTTACTCTTAGGGCTAGTTTGGTGTGGTTGAATGAAATAAAGTGGGAATGGAATGAATCAAAGAATGTAATGCGAATGGTATGTGAAAGGTATGACCATTCCTATGTTTGGTTGTACAAAAAAACATCATATTTTTATAAAACATATAAAAAAATTAAATAAATAAATGAATAAAAAAAAAACATTTAATGAAACGTCGGCTACACACATATATATACATATGTATATATATGTATGTCTGTTCAAAATATTCCTAGTATATATCCTCTACCTATATCCTCATCGTTTGGGACAGATGGTTGAACTTCCCCGGACGCGTGCGAAGAAAACAAATAGAGGAAGCATGAACGAACTATATGTGTACGTTTCATTAAATGTTTTTTTTTTTTTTTTTATTCATTCCTTTATTTAATTTTTTTAAAGTGGGAATTGAATGATCATTCATTTAGTTGGAAAGTGGAATGAATTCGTGGGAATCACCATTTTCGGAGAATGGGTAAGAATCATCATTTCAATTTTAAAGTTACTTACCAAACTAAAGAATGGAAACAAAAACATTTCATTCCCACCTTATTTGATTCTATTCAATCACACTAAACATGGCCTTATTGAAAATTTGTGAAATCCTCTTTCCCCACATAAAAATTTTATTTAGTTTTGAGATTGATATAATTAAGCAAAGTTTTTGTCTCTCTCTTTTTTTTATTTTTATTTTGGGTAAAACAAAGACACTGTTGAAATGTCAAAGCATTGGTGGCTCGCTTAGTGTTGGTGAATAGGAGCAGCATTTAATGCTCCTACTAGCATCATTTTGCATGCCTATTTCACCATATATTATCGGGCCCATATATTATCGTGCATGCTGGAATACTCGTGGCTATAAATCGCACGATGCATTCTCCATAAAATATCTAGAATGCGAAGAGCTCAAAGTGAGCAATTGAAAAGTAAAAGAGTTTGTGAGCCTTTTGATCTTGAGCTGTGGACATGGGTACATTGTCCAATCATGTAAAATTTTGTTTTCTTTTGTGTATGTTCTCTATCCACTTATTTATTTTGTGTTTTGTTTTCTTCATTGGATTGTGTTCAAAATCACCACAATCACCATTATTTTGTTTGTTGACGTGGTTCTGCACAGCACACACTCCTTGCTCACGCTAGGATCAATGGCGGACCCATAAATATATTTTGGGAGTGGACTAATATATCCTGGGTGGTCTTATACTACTAATTTAATTTAGTTTTATTTTATTTAATTTTAATTTTTTATATACCATTGAGCCAAAAACCTTTTACTTTCTTATATATATATATATATATATATATTAGTTTTTCTACTTTTCATCTCTCTCATTAATGAAGGAGATTAAAAAATAAAAAATGTCATCTAGTATCACTTTAATAATGCAGAATGCGACCGTAGACTTATCTTGTGCGCTGATCTTATAAAATGATACATATTGAGGTATTTAAAAAAAAAAAAAAAAAAAAAATTGAAAGTTAAATTTAACTTTTATAAATATAAGAAACAAGAATACAGCCCTGAACCAAAGCTACAAACCATCACAATATGGTCCATGAATACTAAAGCCCATGCCCAATATTACAAACAACCCATCCGAGGTGGATGGTTTAATGACCAATGTTGGTCAACCTCACGTAACAGTGAAGAAGAGGAGAAGAGTTCCTCATACTCGTGGATCTGGTGGCTTCGCTGGCGGTCTCTGAACTGAACTTGGGAGCTCCCATTCCTCAATTATGTGCCTATCATTAAGGGTGTGTTTGGATAGTATTAGTTATAAGAGAAAAGAAAAGAAAAGAAAGGATAGTATTAGTGAGAAAAGAAAGGATAGTATTAGTGAGAAAAGAAAAGAAAAGAAAAGAAAGGATAGTAATAATTTCTATTTGTGTTTGGATAGACAGGGGAGAAAAGAAAAGAAGTGATAGTTATTTTTGTTTGGATAAGATAGAGGAGAGAAAAGAAAAGAAAGGATAATAGACAAATTACTTTTTTACCCTTTCATAACCATGGGACTTGGATGGAATAATAAATCTGTGTATTGATTTGTGGAGGCTAATTTTGGTATTATCAAAATACCACTAAAATCACTATCCTTTCTCTCACTATCTCTCCCTATCTTCTCAATTTTGAGGAGAAAGCAAATAAGAGATAAGGAGGGATAGCTATCCCTCCCTATCTCTCCTTATCCCTCCCTATCCCTCCACTTAAGTTACCCAAACACAAACTTACACTATCCTCTTTTTTCTTTTCTCTCCCTATCCCTCAAAATCAACCCTACCAAACACACCCTAAGAGAATCAGAAAATGATGAGGACATTAGTTTCAATCTCACTATATCTAGCGTTTGAGGCCAGATAGATAGGAGAAAGTGTCCAAAGCATTCTTGAGATCACAAATAGAAGGAAGGCTTGCATGTGAAAAGAGAATAAGGTCTTCGGCAAAGATGAGGTTTGTTAGCCTCAGATCTTTACACCTCCAGTGAAACTTGAATGGCATGCCTTGTCTCAACCCCTTGATGCTATTGAAATAACCATTGAACTCATCATTAATTGAGATGGTAAAAGAGGGAGTGGTTACACAAGTTTTCATCCAAGCTATAAACAAGGGAGGAAATCCAAACATCCTCAATGACTCAAAGAGAAAATCCCATGAGACTTAGTCAAAGGCCTTCTTGAGGCCAATTTTGAGGGCACATCTTGGTGAACTTTTTTGTCTGTGGTAACCAATGAGGAGCTCTTGGGCAAGTAAGATGCTGTTATCAATTTTCCTTCCATGAATGAAGGTTGACTGTGCATGGTCAATGAAATGAAGAAGTGTGGGTTTGAGTTTGTTTCCAAGTATTTTGGAAATATATTTGTAGATAATGGAGCAACAAGAAATTGGTCTATAGTCATTGAGGGTGGTGGGATTAGAGGTTTTGGGGACAAGTGAGATGTAGGTTGAGTTAACCTCTCTGAGCAGCTTTCCAGAAGTGAAGAACTGTTTGATTGCCTTTGTTACATCATGACCAATAACTGGCCATGCTTTCTTAAAAAAGAAAGCATTGAAGCCATTAGGTCCCGTGGCCTTGTCTGAGCTAAGGGAGAACATGCATTGGTGAATCTCCTCATCAGTGGGAATGGAGCAAAGTGAATATGAAAAGGAAGATGGTAATGAAGGTTGGATAAATTGCTGTAGAAGATCATTACTTGGAAAGATATATGGATTCATACCAAGGATTCTATGAAAATGGGAGACAACCTCTTGCATGATGGCAGTTTCAGTATTAAGTAAAATACCAGTGTTAGAGGTGATAGATGAGATTTTGTTTCTATTGAATCTTGAGGCAATTAACTAGTAGAAAAAAAGAGGTATTTGAGTCACCATCTTTCAGCCACAACACTCTTGATTTTTGTCTGCAGGTTTGCTCCTCTCTTGAGCCTTGTGTAGGATGAGAGAAGCTGCTTTTCTTGGGCCCTTAGTGAAGGATCATTAGGAGCAGCATCAAGGGCAAGTTGGTAATTAGAAAGGGATGCCTTTGCATTCTTAACCTCAGCCTGAAGTGCAGTAAAGGATGATGAGAATTTAATTTTCATTGGCTGTTTGAGGCCTTTTAATTTGGAGACAACTTGGAACATGGTGTGGCCTTCAATGTGCTTATTCCAGAAGAATTGAACCAGTGGGAGAAATTCATTATTGCTGCTCCAACAATAAAAAAATCTAAAGGGGACTTTTCTTTGTGGTCTACGGTTGCCAAGGGTGATGATTATTGGGCTGTGGTCAGATATTCCAGGCGGGAGGAAATTACAGTGAGACAAGGGATAAAACTAGTTCCAAAAATCATTTATGAGCACTCTATCCAATTTCCTTGAAATATTTGAGACTCCGCTCTTGTTACTCCAAGTATGGAATGATCCTGAGAAATGAAGATCTTCAAGGTTGGCACGGTGAAGACAAATTCTAAAATCTAACATTGCCTTGGAAGTTTTCCCTGAACCCCCATGGTCCTTAAATGAGGATTTGATGATGTTGAAGTCCTCACCAAGTAACCATGGTGAGGAGAGAAGTGAAGGTGAAGAGGAATGTTTGATTATGTCATCCCACATAATTTCCCTTTCAATGGCTTCATTGGATCCATATATAATGGAGATGTCGAAAGTAGACCTGCAACTATGGATGGTGACATAGCAGTGAATAGCCTGCCTTAAGCATCTTAGCACTTGGAGTTCAACTGATCTAGGATTCCAAAGGACCCAAATTCTTCCCAAAGGTGAGAAGTTGTAATTATGAGTTAGCTTCCAGTGCCTGGCAATGAATCTGTGGACCTTGCCAACATTCTCTGACTTAATCTTAGTCTCAATAATGGAGGCAATATCTACCCTATTCTCAGAAATTAAAAGTTTAACTTTATCTTGTTTCAGGAAGCTATTCAAGCCCCTGATATTCCAAATTGTTATTGATACCATTTAATGGTATTA